CCGGGTTGAAAATTGTGTGATGGTAGACGCGGTTTGCAGTTTGATTCGAAGACAATGCTATTTAATCCTTTTTTGGAAATGATCTTGAAGTTTTGATTAAGTTAGTCGAAAAATAGTTTGAAGTTGGATAGCTGTTTGAAGTTTTGATATTAAGACCCAACTTCAGAAATTGAACTTGGCCCGCTTTCGTAGGAGGGGTGTAAACATTAAGACTGAGTGGTACATTAGAATAAAATCTATACCCAAAGATATTTTGAGCCCAAATTAGCTGAGGGGTACGTTTTGTAACAGGGTAGTCAAATAGGAGGGTCTGGCAAATAAATACCCAAGTTCAGATATTGAACTGGGCCCAAAATGCATATGGGATATTAAGGGCCCAAGTTCAGAAATTGAATTTGGCCCAATTAAGCGGGGGGTTTAGATTGTTTGATTTTGGTAGACGATATGTCGATCCATTTAATTATTCAAAGATGGACATCCTATTAATTATAGAATGTTTAAATTAATTAGATTTAAAAAGAAATTTAAAATTATGTACCAAGTCGATTATTAGTCTAAATACTAAGACATATTTTTGGTGTTTTTAATATATATATATATATATATATATATATATATATATATATATATATATATATATATATATATATATATATATATATATATATATATATATATATATATATATATATATATATATATATATATATATATATATAATTTGAAAAAATCTTGATAGATATAGAAAATATGGTTAATATTTAACTACACTAAAGAGAAACTTGTTTTGTGGTTTTTTTATGAAAAAAAGAAATTAATTCTAAAAAAATAGCTTAAAAAATCATTCATTTAATTCTAAGTTAACCTATTTACTATTCCTAAAATATATCCCAACATCCATTAATTAATTTCTAAAAAAAGTTAACGAACAAAGAATTTGTAGAAAAGAAAATATTTACTTGTTATATTTAATAATTAGCTTAATAAGGCTAAAAAGATTTGTATTTTATTTCTTTTTATTAACATTAAATTCAGTCAAAATTAGATATGTGGCCAGATTTAATTAAGATTTAAAAATAAAATACATAAATTAATATACAACAATAATATAATAATTGTGAAAAATAAGTTTTCTTTGTGTAGTTTTCTTTATAACATTATGTTAATAATTATCACCGATAACAACTATATATGATTAACAAAACTAAATATATTATTAAAAATAAATTTTAAAATAAGAATTATGTACAAAATAATCATAGACAAAGAACAAATTGAATTTTGGAATCAGACATCAATCAAAGAAACACATCGAGCAATTAACCCGACAGCAAGCAATCATGCACAAGTTTAAATAAGATGGTAAAAAGAAACCAACCTGAAGTGGTGTGACCAAACGTAAGTTGCTTCCTCCAATCTCCTTTCTTCTTTCCTTTAGTGCAGAGATTTTTTTTAGGTTGATGGAGGCTTCAAGGTTTCTTTGTTGTTGTTCTTCGATGTGAAGAACAACAATTTTAGGAGAACTCTAGTGAATTGTGGATGATTATGAAATTGTAGATGAAAAATAGTGTGAAAGAGTGGTCTATTTATAGATTTGAAATTAGGTTAAAGACACCCCAAAAAGGAAATAGTCCACAGCAAGAAAAGCCCAAAGTTTATGATTTTATCTTGGCCAATAAGTCTACAAATTCTGACCAATGAGTAATCAGTTTTGTCAACATGGGATCAATTAGAAAGTGACAAATCATGTGATTTTGTTGTTTTTTATATTTTATATGATTTTTGGTAATTTTTTAATTAAAAATTGAAAAAAGTGAAAAAACTATTTTTGAAAAATTATTAATTAAAAAATACGAAAGTTATAATTTAATAATAAAAAAGTAATTTTTTGGGAAGATTTATACCAATTGAGATTTGATTGAAATTTGGTGGACAAGATTATGAACCTAGACACTTTTGTGATTTTTTCTCAATATTGTGATTGATTTTGTGATTAATAAAAATTAGTTTTGAAAGGCTTCAATTATTTTTAACATCTTGACTATTAAGTGTATAAAATCAAAGATTTAAAAAAATAAGAAAATAATTTTAAAATACACTTAAAATATAAAATAAAAATAATAATAAAATAATTGAAAAATAACTTTTTTATCCTTTTTATTGAAAAAACACACAAGAATTTAAATGCCAAAAAGTAGTGAACGGGACTTGAACTTAGGATCTTCCACTTATAAGCCTTACTCTCTTATCAATTATGATACATTATTTATTTGAAATAAAAATCCAATTGAAAACATATGAAGACGATCAACTATTTTCTATTTAAAAGTATAAATAATTTGAAATAAATTATTATATTTTTAAATTAACTAGAAAACGAATATTTACAAAACCCCAAAATAAAATGTAAATCAAAAGAATTTTATAAAAATCAAAGTTTAAAAATAAACTTGATGGTAGCACTGAGGGCGGGCAAATTTGTGCTATGACAGTTATCCCAAGTAAGTATTTCTAGTTGTTTCTTTCTTGGACGAAGATTTGATACTAGAAGTTGATACCAAACTTTTGCAGTTGGGAGTAGAGTAGCAGGACTTGTTAGCTTATCGTAGTTCGCATAAATTAGGCGAAGGCGAGTTGAGTAGACATTGTTGAATCTATAATATTCAACACAACTATCAAACTCTTCACATTTTATTGTTTGACCAATAAGGGATAGAGTATTGGTGATAAGAGAGTCATTGACATAGGAGTAGATTGACTCAGCATCCTGATCATATGGAATAACAAAAGCATTTAACCAAAACTCTTTAATGATATTAGTGTAGATGGATCCATGAAGAATGTCAAAGTAACCATTCAACTTTTGTTTGGAAATAGTTTTCTTTAGATCAAAACCATTGTCTTTCAAATCGTCGAAATAAAAAAAAATTCCATTGATAACAAACAAAAGCACTCGAATTTTTTTATAAGCGATGGGAAAATAATTCAGGAACCTTTCTTTTTAGTGTATTTTTTATTTTAAAACTAAATTATCTATCCAATCGGTTTCCTTAATAACCGAGGGACGAAACAATCAGATTTTACTATAAAAGCGCCTTTTAAATAGATTTTACCATAATCCTAACTCATACGCATCATCATGTCTAATGAACTTCTATCTCAAATAATGGTGTTGATGTTGTTGTTGTTTTATTTTTGGAATAACCTTCCAATGTTGTCAACATTTGTTCCCAAAAATGGAATATTGCCATGAAAAAGCTTGAAAAAGTTCTCTATGAGAGATTGCAAGTGCAAAAATAAATTTTCAAATGGTTGAAATTGATAACCCCTTTAGAAGTTGGATGCATTCATCCATATAATCGTTTCTATTATTTGGAATAGATAACTCCTTACAGCATATATTTATTATTCTCCAAGAATCTGGATTTGTTGTTTTATTGTGTTTTAATATTCTGTGTAAATAATGTAATGAATAAAAAAGAATCTTTTCACTTTGGTTTTTATTAAAATCGAGGGTATAATTTAGCTTGATAATTGATGATATTGATCACCATCCTTAAACAAATTTCTGTCTTTCATTTCATAAGTATCAACACTCAAGAAACTACCATTTATGATTCGTGAAACCTAAAAAACTTACATTATAAAAATATTATGATATCTATAATTGATAATGAAACATCATGAAACACTTGAAACTATCTACATCCTCCACTTTAAAGTTTGCAAGAGTATTTGCCATGAAGAGCTCTCTGTGATGGATTGTAAGAGCAGAAAATTATTTGGGTTTAAGGTTTGTATTCTTAAATTTTAATTTGAGCAAAAAAACATTTATCTATCTTGCATAAAAAACCTTTTTTTGTTTATATCATAAACAAATGCATAAAAAATCAATTGAGAATATAGTGGCACCCAGCATTTGATCTTGCCCAAAGTATCAAGGATTTGAAGATCCAACATATAATCTTCATGGACAAATTAATTTTATTCTAATATTATGTCTAAAAAATGTAATATTATGGGTAAACAAAATAATTTATTGATATTTTGTATAAACAATGTAATAAGTTTTTTTAAAACAATTTATCTTATCTCCCGGTTTTATTGATTGACCGAGATGTATGAGGCACTAGTGTTGTAAATAATAAAAATGAAGATGATGGGGTTCGAATCCATGTGAAAATAAATTTACTCCTCGGCATTTTAAAAACCGTGATTTTAAGTCGTTACTTTTTTTGACGCCCTTTGTTAACTTGCTTCCTTAGCCGAGATAAAATGCATTTTGCGTCCGAGGTTAAAAGCACTTTTTATAGCTGTGAATGATTTATTTAAAAAGAATTCAACAAATATAAATAATGAATTAAAAGTCACAAATATTTTTTTTTATTTTTGAAAACAAATAATTCACCTAATATTATTTTTTTAGATTAAGAATATAACAGTAAATTAAATAAAAAATAAACAATTTTTTAGACATCTTTTGAAGGATGAAAAGTGCAAAATGATGAGAACGAAAGTACACATGAAATTTATTGTTTATTTAGTCGCTAGGATAAAATTGGGGTACTACAGCTGCCTCAACTTAATTATTTTTAACATAGATAATGTAAATGACGAGAGTATTCATATAATCTTTGTGAAAGATTATTAAGTATGAAGGACCCAAGTTTTGTCCTTCGATTAGCAGAAATAAAAGAAATGACATGAGTCTTGAAAGATAAACTTGAATGGGGAATGAAAAGATCATCTCCAACACAAGAATTGATGGATAGATTGACAACAAGATCATCTACAACACGAGGGTTGGTTCATAGATCGACAATGAGATAATCTCCAACACGAGGGTTGGTGCCTAGATCGACAACAAAATCATCTCCAACACGAGAGTTTGTTCCTAGATCAACAACAAAATCACATCCAACATGAGAGTTGGTGCCTAGATCGATAACAAGATCATCTCTAACACGAGAGTCGGTGCCTAGATCGACAACAAGATCATCTCAGACACGAGTGTTGATGCCTAGATTGACAACAAGATCATCTCCAACATGAGATTTGCTTCCTAGATCAACAACAAGACCATCTCCAACACGAGAGTTGGTGCCTAGATCGACAATAAGATCATCTCCGACACGAGAGTTTGTGCTTAGATCGACAACAGTATCATCTCCAACACGAGAGTTGGTGCTTAAATCAACAACAAGATAATCTTCAGCACGAGAGGTGGTGCCTAGATCAATAAATGTAAACCAGGAGACTCGTTGGGGATTAGCTGGGAAAAAATTTATGAAGAAGGTCCACTTCGGAGATTTTCAGTTAAGACTCATTGGGCAGAAAACTCCCTGGGGACACTTCACAAAGATTTATGGAGGAGCCTCAGACTCTAAAAAATAATAGGTTATAGAGGAACATCGGAAAAAAATAAACACGATACGAATGAGCATCGGATTCTAAAAAGGAGAGGGTTCTAAAATAGCGTCGAAATAAAATAAATGAGATTCGGAAGAGCATCATATTATGAAAAAGAGAGGGTTATAGAAGAGCATTGAAACAAAATATATGAGCCTCAGAAGAGCATCAGATTATAAAAGAGAAAAGGGTTTTGAATTTCTCCAGACGAGTAATGGTCTTTGTAGGTGCCAAGTGATGTTGGGCTTTAAGGTGCCAAGCGATGTTGGGATTTGAAGTTCATAATGACGTTAGGCTTTGAAGAAGTGCCAAAGAAAATTGGGCTTTGAAGTAACAGCGAAATTTGGGCTTTGAGGTGCCAACCGAGGTTGGACTTTGAAGTGCTAATGAAAATTATTGAATATTATTGTTAAGTGCAAGCTTTGATACTGTCAAAACTTAATACAGAGAAATTTTGAAGAGCCACTTCTTGAATACTCAAAGGTTCATCCGGAGCCTTTCTATTTTGAGCAGCAAGACTTCATTCTCAACTTCATCTGAACCAGATTATTTCTTAGTTCCAGAATGTGAGTCATTAGTGCGAGCTTGATTTTTTTAGAATTCCTGCCTAAGTGTTCTTTCAAACATGAGAAGTTGTTTACAAGATATTTTACTGCTGATTTGAGTCATGTTGCATGAGTCTTTAATTTCAATTTCCATTAAATAATTCAACAAGCGGACCAAGACTAACCTTGATTTCTTCAACAAGCACATTTTTCTCACGAGTCAGTCTTTAGGATTAAAATCTTCTTGTAGTCACAAAAAAAAATTCTTTATCCAAAGACACTCGAATGGACCTTTTTTATTTTTATTGGTTATCCAAGTACTCCTTCCAGTCATATGCTTTTGTTTAAGTAGTCAGTACTACATTAGCATGACTTTCTTCAACTCATCTTTCTTTAGCTTATGTAGTTTCCATTTTTGAATGATGAGGGAAACTTCATTGAAAGCTAACACACAAAATGAATTGTATTTCTCATAGGATCTTTTGACTGTACCACTATTAAGTGTTATGCACAATCAGAATCTGATACCAACTGAAAGTAAGAAAAGTACACAAGAAGACAGGTTTAATTATGTATATCAAAGTTTACTTATTTTTGCAATCTTGATTCAGAACCTAATTAGAAGATGTCAGATTATGAGTAAAGAAGAACAAAGTTAGACCAGAGTCTGACTTCAGAGTTCAGTGCACATCAGAATAAATAAATGCATAAGTAAATAAAGTGACATACGATATATCATGGTTCCTCTCAAACTGAGATTAGTCCAGTCCTCTTGCAGCACAAGAGAATTTCACTATAATCATTCTGATTACAATTTGCTCAATCAAACAAGAAAGACACTCTCTCTCTCTCTCTCTCTCTCTCTCTCTCACACACACACACACACACACACACACACACACACACACACATACACACACACACATGCATACATACATGCACACACATACACACACATACTCACACGCACATACACAATGCACACGCACACATGCACGTACAAAGACACACACACACAAACAAACACACACACACACACACACACACATATATATATATATATATATATATATATATATATATATATATATATATATATATATATATAACTTTTATTTTTATAAGTTATGTTATTTACATAATTTAAACTTTAACATCTCTCCTTTTCTCTACTTTGTTATATTTATTGTTAACATGATATCTAGATCATGTTTCAATTCTTCTTGAATGATTCGTTGCTTCCACTATTGTTAAATTATGATTAAAGGAGACCCTATTTGTTTTATCATGTTTGAATAGTGAGTATTAGAGTAACTAAAATAATGTAACTATTTCGATATAGTTAGTTAGAGTTTGTTAGGTTTTTTAATCAAGTTAATTAATGTATAACGAATTTTATGGTGTGTATAACTATTTTATCACCCTTTAATTATAAAGAAATGAACAAATACTAATAAACACAAGGAGATCTTGAACTATCCATTCTCTCAAGTTTCATAGTTCATTTAATATGTTAACATACGACTAGAAGGGGTCTCTTCTATTTCATCTACATCTTCTCCTCTTTTGAAAATTTAGTTTCAACTCAAAGCTTCATAAAAGCTTCAATTGAAGATCCTAAAAAATCTTTTCAAGATTCGAAAAATGTGTTTCCCATGATTATGTTTGCATTGAAAAATCTGGGAACACCTATATATTTTCTTGGTATTGAGATGTGTAACATCCTAGACTGCCTTCGGGATTATCGACTGACCCTACAAACTAACACAGGTCATTTTAGCATGATTTGTCCTCACTCACACGCTTTCAGAAAAACATTCCAGGAGGTAAACCATCCCAAAATTGCTTCAAGTCAAGCACGTTTAACTGTGGAGTTCTTATGGTTAGGCTATCGAAAAGAAGATGAATCTAGTTGGTATAGGTAGTAACCATTAATCCTTATATGCATTCCTTCAACCATGCAGTCCCTTCCCTACACAGCCTCAAGATCCCTCTCATTCTGATGTAGAGACCACCCTTGCTCTCTTCGACCTCGCGTGTTACGTGCGGTACAACCACTCCTAGCCTTCTTCGGCCTCGGGTGTTACATGCCTAACAACTTCCGCATGGTTCATCCTCGAACCACATCGTAATGGGAAAGTTCTGGCTCTGATTCCATTTATAACACCCCATATTTCCTTCAGTATTATCGACTGACCCCACAAACCAACACGAGTCTTTTCAGCATAATTTGTCCCCACTCACACACTTTCCGGGAAACTCCTCAGAAGGTCACCCATTCCAAAATTGCTCTAAGTCAAGAACTCTTAACTGTGGAGTTCTTATGGTTATGCTACCGAAAAGAAGATGTATCTTGTTGGTATAGGTAGTACCCATCAATCCTTATATGCATTCCTTCAACAATGATGCCCCTTCCCTGCGCAGTCTCAGGATCCCTCTCATTCCGATGTGGAGACCATCCTTTCCTTCTTCGACCTCGGGTGTTACATGCGGTGCAACCACTCCTTGCCTTCTTCGGCTTTGAGGTGTTATAAGATGCACTATCAGTCAAGTGTTTATTGCTTATTAACAAACAAAATACATCAAAGATTTACTATCCAAAGTAAACATGGTTGATGCCAATGATGTTAACACTCATATATCTACTTATTATAAACTGAGCGAAAATGGAACTGACATACACTACTACAAAATATACATACGAAAATGCCAAAGTCACTATAGTTCTTCCAAACACCGTGGTGACACTTCTAAACTCATGCACTAACATTTTTTTTATTTTTTTATTAAAATTTTAAGGGTATAATAACGGATGATGAGAACACCGTTGAGATACCTTCAAGCTTTCATGGGTTCGAACCTCATCTCCCTCAAATAGTTTATTCCTTTTACGTTAATGCACACCTTTTCATTTTTAATTATATTTAAACAAAAAACATAATAGAGATATCACTATGTTTGTTTTGTAAAACCGTTGTTAGACACTAACACTTTTTTATGAAATTTCATTATGCAAAAAATATATCATTATGAATCACAGTAATGACCATGATATATATATATATATATATATATATATATATATATATATATATATATATATATATATTAAACACTTAGTATCCATTTTTCCACTGAAAAAAGAAACAAGAAAAAACAACCCTAACAACAACGTTGTCGTCATCATTGGGAAGGAAGACAACAACATCGACACAATATTCTACTTTATGGTACGTAAATTATTTTCGTTTCAATGACGCATTTGAAGATAAAACCGTACAAAGGTGTTTTTATGTCTTCTTCTTCTGTAAAATATCAATCTAGAAATTTCTTTGGTTGTGATGGTCGTATGGTTTCGTACCAAAGCAAGAAGAGAAAAAAATAAAGGAAGGCTTTTTTGGAGATGTCCATTTTGGAGGAGTGATGAGACATGTAATTTTTTCATATGGGATGATTACATGAGAGAAAAAGGTGGAAAGGAAGTCAGAGTGGGAAGTTGTTGAAGTTATGGGTTATTTTAAGGTTATGTATGAAGATTCAAAGAAGAAGAACAAGAATTTAAAGAACAAACAGAAATCAGAGATATTTTCTGGAAACTTAAATATGTTATGTTTTATTAGCTCCTTTACGTTTAATGTTTACTTTGTTATGGAATGTAATAGTTGAAGTAGGGTTTGAATTGCACATGCAGTGAACATGATAGTAATGTAACTATCATACGATTTCTTAAGTTTTAATCACAGTTATATGTTTTTTATTTCAGCTTTTCAAAGATGTGTGTATATTAGTTGATAGATTTTGTAACTGATAGTTTAAGTTGGTAGTTTAAGTTAATAGTTTAAGTTTATAACCTTAAGAAAGTGAGAAAGCCCTAGAGTTAAGCAGAAAGATTAAAATTTTATTACATAAAATTTCATTACATAATGCCTTAATAATCATATCTAAATCTTCTAGCCTAGAGAATGTTTGACCAAGTATAATCTGATTCATCATCATCATCAGAGTTGAAAAAAATTATTTTCCTTCTCACCCTTGTTCTTCTTCTTGCTCTCCTCTGCCTGAGTGCTCTCCTGGGTATCAACAGTTCTTGATTCTGAGGACGCAGAAAATCTTCAGCATTGTTGGATGCTCTCTCAACATTGTTGGAAGCTTCAGCAGAAGTACTCATTTTGGTTCTTCTTCTTCTCTGATTTCTTTGGATGAAGTTCTTTTTGTGTTTTGGTTCAAAGAGTAATTTTGATTTATATTGTTTCTTCTGATTTTCCTCTTCCCTGAACCTTGAAATTCTAAAAGCCATAATATTTCACGCATGTCAAGTTTTCTAATTATTGGTTCTTTAATTCCTCGAGCTATTGCATGAATGATTATATCTACTTGTCTTTTCATATATCTTTTCCCCTTCTTTGATATGCCTACTTACATATAGTTTGATGTAATACAAGTTTTGATATCAATTCACAAATGGTGTATTGCTAATTTTTGTATGATACAAATGAGATTTATTAATAAACAATACCACAACGGTTATTTCATACAACTGTTGTTATAGGGTGCACGCTTTCCAGTTTACTACTACGGTCAATGCACCGTGATTGAAAGTAACATATATACAACCACCCTCTATATAAAAACACCCGAACCTACATGATTATATATCATTTCAAACCATTGTTAAAGGCCTTTTCATAGTAGTGATAATGTTAGACCATTCATTATATAGGTCAACAACTAGAACTCTACAATATGTCATACAAACCCGACATAATAATTCCTATTTGACATTAAGACTCGTCAATTTATGGTCAATATACTTGAAACTAATTAGAGTGTATTCAAAAGGATTCTAAAACACATGGTATAATGTTTTCTATTGCAAATTCACTTCATAAATTATGTTTAACAACTTATAGCAATTCAGATTGGGCAAGTGATCTGAATGTCAGAAGATCAACATCAGGTTCATGTGTTTACTTTGGTCCAAATCTAGTTTTTTAAAGTTCAAAGAATCAACCACTTGTGGCTATATCAAGCCTTGAGGCTAAATATTAAACACTAGCACACACAACTTTTACCCTAATATAGCTTGCGTCATTCTTATCTGAACTACAAATCACTTATCTATCTCCAAATTTTATGTGATCATTTAAGTTCAATCATTCTATCACATAATTTTATACTCCAAGCTAGAGCCAAACAAATTGAACTTTA